ATCCTGGCACTCACTGGTGTTGTTGAAGCAAAGTGTTTCTCTCTTGCAGCTGGTGACCCATAGAGGATGAAAGCTGAGCAGTTGTTGGGTTCATTCTTTGAAATACCATGTAAATAAGCTTAAATGCTGTGAATAGCTTCTTCCTTTTTTTTTTTTTTTTAAGGCAAGGCAACTTGTACATAACTGTAAACTGGGGAAGTTGGGTAGCACCAATTGACAGAGGCTCAGCTTTAGACTTAGTTGAGCCTTAATGTACTTAAAATAGAAATTTCTGTACATTACTACCAGTCCATTGTTGCAGTCTTCCCCATTATTTATTTGCTATCTTTTTATGGGTTGCACTTACCATACTTGTTCCACTGAGCTTTTCAATATGTGACATCAGTTCTGCTTCCAACTTGTCATTTGTGCCACGTTTTAAATCAGTGCTGATTGTGGCAGAAAACACTGCAGATTTTTTTATGTAATTACTTTGTACATATGTATTTAATGTATCTATTATTAACTCAGGTGTATTTCTTTTTTAATGTTCCTCTTACAACCTATTTTCATTGTATTTTACTTTCTTTGGGGACTCATATCGTTATGTATTCATATCCAAATGTATTCATCTCTTCACATATTGCTGTATTGAATCTGTTCTTGCTGGAGTTTGGCTGTATTTTGCATCTTCACATAAGCTAATTTTTTTGAAGTACAGAAAGGTCATTTAAAGTCATATGTTTTCAATTATGAAAATGCTAACAAAATCAAGGGTCTTTTTCCTCATAACGGACCTAAACCATGAGATTTAAGTACTCTTAAGTCCAGTATATTTGCCTGTGAAAAAAATACCTTATTGTTGAATCAAGTTCACATATTAAAAACAAGAACTTTTGCTTTTCTAAAATACAGGCATGAAAGTCAAAGCAGAAGAACCAAATGTTTTGCTAGGTGGTTACCAAAAGAAGCAGAATGGGGAGAAAATCAGAAGTATTATTTTTTGAGTTTTCTTAGAATGAAATATTCGTAGTGTTGTATGCTTCTAGGCTATATGGAAAAAGTGTCATAATCAATCTAATTGGCTTTTGTTATACTTAATTATTTTTATGATTTACAAATGAGTTTGTACAGACTTCAAGAGGTGATATTGCCAAATATTTTTAAATGCCTTTCATTTCATATAAAGAATTTGAAAGGAATATGCACATCATTTACGATTCCTCTAGAAAGTGTTTTAAGTATTTTTTTTCTTAATGTGTAGCTTATTCTATAAATGGCAGTATAGATAGCTATCTGTCTTTTCACTTGGAATCAAAGAGGAGCTCACTGCAAAAATCTGCTGGTTCTGGATGAAGATGTACAGAAATAGGTGTCCCAGCTGGTTGGCCTAGGGTTCTTGTGAAAAATTGGCTCATCGTATAGCTGGCTCCCTTTTCTCTGCAGGCCATGTAACTTTGTGACAAGAAAGCAAAAGGAGGGCTGGGGAGAATAGCCATCCTTTATTGGGTGAAGGTGGAAAATACAGTGAGGAAGGATGAGGAAGAATCTGAGGTAATTTAATGACTTCTTTGCTTCAGTCTTTAGTAGTAAGACCAGTTGTCTTCAAGGTCCCCAGCCCTTTGAGCTGGAAAACAGGAACAGGCAGCAGAACAAGCACCTGTAATCCAAGAAGTAGTAGTCAATGACCTGCTATGCAACTTAGACACCCACAAATCTATGGGGCTCAACCCTGGGGTACTGAGGGAGCTGGTAGAAGAGCTCAGCAAGCCACTTCCAGTCATTTACCAGCAGCAGTGTGAATGTCCCAGGTGACTGGAAGTTGGATAATGTGACACTTACCTACAGGGAGAGCCAGAAGGAGGTTCCAGGGAAGTCCAGAGTTGTGAGCCTGACCTCAGTGCCAAGGTCATGGAGCAGATCATCTCCAGTGCCATCATGCAACGTGTACAGGACAAACAGGAGATCAGGCCCAGCCAGCAGGGGTTTACAAAAGGCACATTCCTCCTGACCAACCCAGTCTCCTTCTGTGACAAACTGACCCCCTTAGTGGATAAGGGAAAGGCTGTGGATGTTGTCTACCAAGACTTAAAGTTCTTGACACTTTCTCCCACAACATTCTCCTGGAGAGCCTGGCTTCCCATGGTGTGGTTGGGTGTCCTCTTTGCTGGGTTAAAAACTGGGTGGGCAGGCCCAGAGAGGTGGTGGTGGATGGATGGTGGCTACTCAGAGTTCCTCTGGGCTCAGTACTGGGGCTAGTCTCAGTCTGGCTAGAGTTCCTCTGGGCTAGTCCTGTTCACATTTTTTATCAGTGATCTGGAGAAGATCTGGAGAAGATGCCCTCGTTCAGCTCACAGATGACTCCAAATTGGGCAGGAATTTTGGTCTACTGGGGATAGAAGGTTCCACAGAGGGATCTGGACAGACTGGATCAATGGGCTGAGGCCACTTGTCTGATGTTCAACAAGGCCAAGTTCTGGATCCTGCACTTGGGTCACAACTCCATGCAATGCTACAGGCTCGGAGGAGACTGGCTAGAAACTGTCTGGCAGAAAAGGAGATGCTGGTTGACTGCCAGCTAAACATGAGCTAGCAGTGTGTCAGGAAAGTTTAGCTTGAATACTAGGAAAAAATTCTTCCCTTAAAGGGTGATCACAACTTGGAACAGGCTGCCCAGGGAAGTGGTTGAGTCTCTGTTCCTGGAGGTGTTTTACAGACATGTAGAGGTGGCATTTAGGGACATGATTTAGTGGTGGACGTGGCAATGCTGAGTTTAAGGTTGGACTCAATGATCTTAAAATTCTTTTCCAGTCTAAATGATTCAATGATTTTAAGACCTGCCTGCTGGAATTAGGTTTATTTATAAAAAGTTGCATAACTTCCTGGTGGTCTCACAGCTCTAATCAATTGATTTTTGCAGTAGCAGAGATGTGTCCCTGCTGAGTGTAGTGGTGGGAGCTTTGCCAATACCCTTGCACTTCCACCCCGCACCTGACGCGCGGTGTGTTCTGAACTGAGAAATTCAGTAAACCAAGGGTGCATGTTCTGCATGGCTACTCCTCGCTGCAGTGCAGTGTCAGCTAGCCATGTCACACTGAGACAATTAATAGATTTGAATAAATGGGGAAGTTTACAAAACAGTTAAGAACCTTGGACACGACACATTTTCAGGCAGCATGATATTTTGTATTTGATTATGATTTGTGCAATCAGGGCTCTGTTATGCCTGAAAGGTAATGAGTGTAAATTGAGAAGGAGAAAGGAAGCATATTGAGAAGTGTTACATATAAGTCCAAGGATACTACTGAAATGTTGACTTGCTTCAAACAATACATATACATCTGGAACACATTACTGTAGCTTTCCTCTAAGAGAGGTCCAAAGCAAGTAAAGGAGGTTTATTCCAAGATAAAAAATAAATATTACAAAACCCCCTACTTTTTTTTATTGGAACTATTCAAAAAATGAAATATAACTACTACTTAAATCGGTTTAAGTATACCATAAATAATGCATTAAATAGTCCATCAAGAAATAACCACAAATTCAGGCTACTGAAGCAAGCAATGTAAAAAGTTAAGGTGTAGCAAGAAAACCTGTTGGCATTTTATCTCGAACTACAAAATATGCCCATTCTCTACTTCTAAATTCACAAGTTGAGCCCTGTACAATGTCATTCCTCCATACTTTTTATTTCCCTTATTGTAAACCTTGGATTTTATACAGGACTTACTTGACTAATAGCAAGTGCTCACTTTCCTTCCAGGACCAAGCCTCCATCTTAAATTATAATGATATGTGCTGTTCACCACAAGAAGGGCTGAATTATATGTGGAAGTATTAAGTAAATAGTTTGTGGTGAGGCTGTCATAGGTTTCTTCTCAAGGAGGCCAATTGGTAAGGACTTAGCAACATATTTTAGAGATATTTAAGATCCTATATGATGGTATAAACTGAATGTGAAAGAAAAAAATTAATAATTAGCATGATTCTAGCAGTGTACAAGGGAGGTGGAGGGAAAGTAATTCAAGCTACTGGTGCCAGTATGATTTATTAACACTGAGAAGCACAGCACTTCTGCAGCATAACTATACTACTAAGTGTCATAAAACCAAATCATTATATGATGAAAAAAAGCCCCTTTTCCTCTAATTTAAATTTAGATTTATAGTTGTGAATTGTAACCATGCAGATTAATCTAATTTTGGTTTTATCATAAATTATGTAATAAAGCTTCATTTTCTGGCACATTCCCCACCTACAGGCAACAACACTTATTTCTAAAGTAGTCCAGCAATCTTACTCTGAGTAAGATCTGTGCTCACTAAAGACTATAGAGAACCTTTGTATTCACTGGGTGGATTAGGTAATTCTTTGTCTCTTGCATTCTGGTCTAATTATTGTTTCATTGAAGGACTAAATGCATTGTAATGATATCCTAAGGCTTTATTTAAATCTGTCTTCCTCCATGATGACTTTAAGATAATTTCAAGATTCAGGAATGGGATGTAGTAATTGTGTATGCATTTTTTAAGACAACTTGTGCAGATGGACACAAGTTTGACAGGTGAAACATTTTGACAGGTTTTAAATAGGATATGTGTCTGAGAAACATTGCTGGTAACCAAAAGTTCTGTCAGAGTAACTCCTGTGGTAGAAATTTACAGCAGTGAGTTTCCCTGTATGGGTGAGCTTGGAAGACTGGTCCTGTTTCTCTGTCTCTGTGCCTGCTTTATTTGTATTACTCTGTTTCACTAGTAGATTTTAGACAGGAGTGTCCCACTGAAAGAAGCAATCCTGTATGATAAACACTGTTCATTGAAATATCAAGTCATGGCATTTTGTTATGGTTTCTAAAACACTTAAACCAGTTTATTTCAGGCAGTTGTCATATTTTCTTTGTCCATCTTTTTTTCTTGTTTGAAGTAGAATATTCATCTTTTGCTGATACAAGAAATTAATTATTTGTTTTTCATATGGTATTTTGACCCATATTTTAAATGCTTTTTATTTTTTTATAGGTCCTCCCATGCCATCCTCCTCATCTAGTCCATCAGTTACTGAACATTTACACTCCCCTCCTCCATCACCCAATCTCCATGACAACCAGAGGTGGTTATTAAGTAATAATGCCAGCCAGCCAGTTCAGGACTCTGATACAGATGAGGACTATACTGCCGGCTCATATCTAGTGCAGACCAGTGATAATCCAGTATCTGTCCCAGGTCATGGTAAGAAGAGGACACTTTGTCCATAGTTTAAATACCCTTTTATTTTCCATCTTCTTAAGAAATTGTCTAACAAAACTTAAATATATCAAAATTACTCTGTATTTTAAACTGGTTTTTCCTTAAATGTCACAAAATGTCCTATTTTACTGTAAGATGAGCAAGAGTAGAAAATAAGTGCTAATATAGAAAATCTTGTCTAAGTTGTTTAACAGGCAATGCTGATGTGAAGCAGTAGCTATTAATGATTTATGATGTAATGTAGTTTTTAGCAAGTGACTAACCTTTAGTTGTACATTTTAAAGGGTAGACTGAAGTTGGTTAAACTGTCATGATATTTAGCTTCAGAATAATGTAAAAGTTGTCTTTTACTACCTCGTCAAGTTCAGCAGGTTCCAGCCATTCCTTTCATTTCCTAAGGGAAGGAGAGCAGGATTTTTTTTACTGGATAGTACTTTTTTACTCAAGACTGTGGAAAAAAGCTCTAAAGAGAGCTCTAAAGAGATGACATGAGGCAGTGGTGGCTTCTGAGATGTATGTTTCCACATTTCTCTTCCTTCCAACCAGTATAAGTAAGCAAAAGGAGCGACATACTTTAAACACCAATGCCTGCTTAAACATTGTACCCAAAGAAACCACTTTTTTTCTTTTACTTTCTCTTTCATCTTCTTTTTTCTTCTTTTCTTCTTTTTTTCTTTTTCTTCTTTCTTCTTTGTTTTTCTTTTTTTTCTTTTTTTTTTGTTTTCTTTATTTTTTCCTTTTTTTCCTTTTGATATGAAATATACATTTAGCCACAGGTTTCCATTTCTGTTGCATGACTGAACAGATTTTCTTGGTATGGGCATAGGCACACTGGAAGAATAATTTTTTTAATTCACAGCCCTTCTCAGGTAGATCAGCAAAGCTTGAAACAAGCCACTTCATATTCTAAGAACCATTCCTGTGTTTTGATTGTTAAAATCTCACCTACAGATGAACCACTAGAGGGGGTATGGAGAAATATTTTTCTGCAGATTGCACATCAGCTGATTGGACAGAATGATTTTGCCAAGCATGGCACTAAATTTGAGCTTCTCTTCTTAGCTTTGGTGTTTTGGTGTTATGTCTAAAAGGCCAGTGTGCTGAGAGCACTCATGTATGTGAATTTGACACATTTGGATTAAGTTCTTTAAAATTTATGATAACTTTGTCTTTGCATGTTCAACTTGCTCAGTATTTAATCCGTGAAGAACTCAAAAAATGGTCATGCATTGTCATTATCAGGGTATGCTATGCTTTCTTTTATCTCTAGGAATATGAAGTCTGTTAGAAAATACATGCATTATCCAAAAGATAGCCTGATTTAGTTCAATAAGTCAATATATTTAGATTACTATACCCTCCAACCCTTCTTTTATAAATGAAAAATGCAAAAGCAAGACAAAACTGCTAAAAATTTTGAATAATTGGGATGGTCATCTTGCATCTCTTAGGAAGTTAATAAGTGTTCATCATTCCTCTAGATTTTGGTCCTTTTACTGCTTCTGAAATTTTGAACAGTTGCTTGCCAGTGAGTTTACCAACCTTCAGGAATGTTCCTTAACCTGTTCCATTCCAGACAAGCTAAATTAATTTCATCTGATCCTCTGTCAAGTCAAGTCTCAGCCTTTTAGCAGAGCAACATCAGAGGGGTTTTGTTGACAAGTAGGACCAGAGTTAGCACCGTGGTATTTGTTGAGACAGTTGTTCTTTGTAAGACTTTTGCTAAGCAGGAGGAAACACAGCGCACTCTGCAAGTCTGTGTTCTTTTTCCTTTTCCCTCTGTCTTCCCACTGTTCTCCTCTACCTGCAGATGTCTGATATTCACCCCTTCAGTGTATATGTGTGGTAGAACTGTTTGCAGTTCCTGCTGTCAAGTGATCTTTCTCTCCACAAGATTAGACTTGTTTTCAGAAGTGCTTCAGCTTGCTAACCATGGATACTTATGTATAGGGACTGCCATAATTTAAGTCAGGCTTGTTGCTTTTCTGCTGGGTAAGGAGAAGATCATAGGTGTTTAGGTAGTGGACTACTTGCATTTCTACAGCCACCTGCAGAATGAGGCTTTGTGCTACTGGAAGAAAGATTCCTTTCACTCAGCAATAAATGAATATTGCTTGGATTATCTACCTGATTTGCTTATGGTTGGTTTCTCATAAGATATGCTGATGGCCTGTTAGTGGGGAGAAAGTATGTTCATTGTAAAACAGGGAAAAGCAGAATATAGTAAGTGAGCTACAGCTTTCTTCTACTTGGCAATATGCATGGTTGTGTAATATTGCAGTGCAGTATGTGGATCTCTCCAATTCTAAGTCAATATCATTTAACTGTGGCCTTTAGAATGCTATTATTTGATTATTGCAGTTTCTTTAGCTAAAATGGTCAGTAATGAAGCATATGTAGCACTTTCACAGAAAGAAGGGGTTTTTTTCACTAGTTGTCTTTTCTTTTGCATCTTCATGTAAGCTTTCAATGCTATCTAATCTTAATGGGTTTAAAGTAAGTCCAGTGCCACATTCCAGATGACTTTGTCCAGTGTTTATGTTGGCAGAGGATGGGGGATCACTGCTGAAGCATTTAGGGATAAAAAAGGTGCTGACTGAAAACAATTATATTATTGAACTGCTTTCAGTTATATTGACTTTATTTGAATAGTAAGTTGAATTAACATCATCTTAGTCTACTCAAACATCTGATTGTTTTCCTTTAGAATGAGTTCATTTGATCAATGTATTTTATTTGATTGGCTCACTTCAAATTTAGAGTATCTGAATATGTGTGAAGAATTATATTACTCTATGATGCTGGGTTTGATTAGCTTGTTTTGTTAACCAATGGGAATTAGCGTCCTTTTCTGCAATTAGCTAAAAGAGCAAAAAGAATTAGTACAATGAGTTATCAGATGCTCACCACAGAAGCTAAGGTCTCATGGAGATATTACTAATAGCTTTAAAAATTCAGATCAAGAGAGGACTGTTGTGGACAGTTTAATAGGAATAATTTAATTTCTCTAAGAACAGTTTGTGTTAGTAAGTAGTGAAATTCAGGAGGAGATAAATTTTAGGACTATCAGACAACTCTTCTTTTAGACAGCGTCTCTAATTCTACTTGTTCCTCTTCTTCAGGGTGCAGCTCAGTATATGAACTGTTCCAGCAGTCAGTCTGACTGCCCACTGCTATCAGAACAATTTATTTATTACATTTATTGTTTTTAGAAAGAGCAGCAAAATGGCTTATAATGAACAGGGACTTCTGAATACATGTGCAGGGAAATGAAACAGTTGTTAAGGTGAGAGGGAGAGTAGAGTGAACTGGAAGCTGAGAGGAAAGGATTCTTAAATGTGATTGAGTTGGAGGGCTTCCTTATGTCACTAAGTCTGCTTATAAAAATACAAGTCATGTAGTATCTGTATTTAGGCATCTTGAAAAGTTTCCTAATCTTTTTCCCTTAAAAGTTACAGATTAGTTAGAATTTGGAGGGGAATTTATTGAAATTAGTAGCAGCTCATCTTTTAACACAGAGTTTAATATAATAAAAAACAAAGTGCTAAATTCTTAGTTTAAGCAGAGAGTATGAAGACAAGGTATATATATTTAATGCTTACTACTGACAATGAAATTGAAGAATCTGAATTAGAAACTCAGATTTGAGAATTTTTACCCCTAAATTGGAAATATTGTGGGAGAACCAGAAAATGCAAAATAGAGAAGTATGTATTTCACAGCAGCAATTGTATAGTGCATTTGAACATCAAGATTCTCATGTTTCTTAATAACAGTTTGTGATGATAATTTGTGTGGTGGGAAGATCTGAAAGACATTCAGTATAACATAAACTGGTTTTCAGTTGTCCTTGATCAAGGATCCTCCAGGTAATGTACAATAAAAAAGATTTTACTCCAGCCACATGGGAATTACAGATTGATGGGCTTTTCAGTTTAAAATGGCTATGCCTTCCTACAAATTTGGAAATCTAGAGCCCAACTCTGAATTCAAACTTGTGAAAGAGAAAAAATAATGTAATAAAGCTGGTTGAATGAAAAGGTATTTGAACTCTCTGCATTCGGAGGTCTCATTGTAGGACATGTCACTCTACAGACACCAAATGTGCTGTGGCATAATTCTCCTATAAATTGAGGACTTTATTTCATGATGATTGATTAGAACTTGAAGGAAGAGCTTATACAAAAGTATCTGCCATACAGAAATTATTGTTTTTATTACCCCACAATGTCAAGAAGCCAATGTCAGAACCTTTTGCTTTTGTACAGGTACCTGAGGGAATAGGTGCCCAATGCTCAAGGCTAGCACAAGTAAAGACCAGATATAACACATGTACAGAGCATAGATGTGACTTTTATTAGGTGTTTGTTAGGGTTTTTTTACTCTTCAGATTTTCCCTCCATCTCATGTTTTCTGCATAGATACCACAATTCATGTATAGGCAGCATAACTAAACAATCTGCCTCACTTCCACCTTTTTCTTTCACCAAGAGCAAAATGAAATGGAAGTGTGATTGGAAGTGCACACAGGGACTTGTGCTATAAGTTAGTGGAAGATGCTAGTGACTTTTAAGGCATCTTGTCTTCCCTTGCAGCTCCTGTCAGGGTGGGAAGAGGAAAATGGGATTTTCCCCTTCATACCCAACTGGCTTGTGAGAATGTTGGAAATAACCTGTGAATATTGAAGAGGCCCATAGCAAATTGAGTCTTAGCCAATGTGGAAGTACTTTGTGTGGCTTTTTGGTAGTCCTGCTTTAGTGCCTACTAAACACTTCCCAGTCCTTACTCCATCTCTGCTTTGCCACAGTTACTTCACAAAGGAAATTGCATGTACTGGTGAGCTAGAAGCTGGCAGCCAGGCTGTCACCAGCCATGTGATTTCACAGAAGGAGGAGTTCTTTGGATTTCCTGGAATATTCTTAGTAGGAGGAGACCCACAAGGATCATCAAGCCCAGCTTTTAAGTGGATGGCCCACACAAGG